AAAAAAAATAGATTCTTTATGAAATGGTCTGTATATATCAGTCCATTACAATGTCATCAAGTTGGGCTCGGCCGCTCGATTTTAGATAACAAACTAAAATAAAAATGAGTAGTTAGGCTTGGAATTGGGCCTTATGTCTTTAAACTGGCCTGCACGCACTCCATAGATATATATATATGCTGCAACTTGGTTCATATATGTGCCGTATGGATAAAGAGCCCTTTTGATGCCATAAAAGAAAGGTTTTCTTTTTGTGTTTTTGGCTTAGTGATGTGTTGTGGTTTGCTGCTGCCATGTAATGAACTAATACAAATTATATAATCACTGCTACAACAATGTGTGGCCTTATGAATTCCAACTCAAAATGTCAAACCATAATAATATTAAGGACAGAACAAGAATTCCATAACAACCCTTGCAGATTGGATAATTATGTCTGCAGGGACTATAAAAATTAATGCTACAAACACAAAGATTCAAATCATGGCCACTTGCCCCAAAACTCCAGTATCAAACTTGTTATCTCTCACAAACCCATCAATCATGCAACCCAAAATACACTAACAATAGTAGAGTACAATAAAATTTTGAAAAAAACTCTCTCAAGTCTCAGTATGTAACTATAAAAGAATTCAAGAATTCAGAGTAGCCTAAGATGCGACGTGTCGTTCAATCTCTTAATCTGCCACCCAAGCTTCCACGAATGCTGCAGCACGGTCACCGAAGAATCTTCCACGCAAATCTTGTTTGACATAGCAGGACTGCAACCGAGGATTCCAGTCAACAGGCATTTGATCGGTGTCGGGTGACTGAAAACCCCAACACAAGTAGACACAATCAAATTATTATTATTATTATTACTGCTACTACTACTATTGTTGTTACTACTTGTCTGAACACTTAAGTCTCGGACAACTGGGACACGAGGGGACATCTCGTCATCAGCCTCGTTATCGCCAGTTGTCACAACCTGAAGCCTGCTCTTGCCGGATTTCTTGCGGTGGATCCCCTGCCGGTGCCGGTGGAGCAAGTCCCAGTTGGGTGGTGGGCCCAGAGAAGGTACGCTCAGGGTCGGGTTGTCGGTCGGGTCGGGTGGGGAGAAGTCGGGTCTGAACTTGACAGGGAAGGATGTGAGCGTGCTGTTGAGGAACTGAACCATACGGAACTCGACCTGCCTCAAGGACTCTCCAGACGGGGCGCAAAAATCAGGCTGTGATTTCTCCATTAAGTTTAGTATCTCGGGTGTGAAGATGTCCGAGCGGTGGCAACCTTCCCAGTGGCCTTGGCTCATCTCTGTTAATGCATCGGATGATTGTACATGGTCCTCCGAAAAATTCAACTCCTGCGGATGAAGGATATTTTTTAGGGGAAATTAGTGCAAGATTACAGATGGTGTGGTTCAATGACTTTTTCTTTTTTCTCCATTTACACCCACCATTTATTATTATTTTGGCAAAGCTTTTTCAGTTAATATATAAATTCCAAACTCCCTAGCTGGATCAGGATTACTAATATTAGAAGTTAGAACTGTCAAGGTTGGAGATCAGATAGAAGATACTACATAGTCCTGCAAATTTGCAGTAGTGGAAGAGCATAAAGAGAACTTCATGCTAAAAGCGAGAACATTAAAACTTTTATGACCGAGGGGTATAAGAGAAATAGTACCATAAATAAGTGTGGAAAATTTGCAAAGAAGTAGCATCAACATCTTAAAATATTATTTAGAGATTCTTCCTACTCAGGTGCCACAAGAATCAGGCAGATCATCACTTTCAATCTACTACTTAATCTGTAGAACACGACATGGCCTACTAACTGATTTCAGTTTAACAAAGGATCACTTTCAGTAAGCTGGTTGACCATTTTGATATCAATGCTGAACAATCTCATTCAACGGAAAGCCAAAAACTTTAAAGAAAATATTACAAATAACTAGTTCTGAGAGAAAGCGGATGGCTTTGAAATATTCAGTCAACACAGGCCACAGTAAAGACTTGCACCTCAGAACCAACTCTAAACACTACCAGAAAAATGCATACTTATTCATTATTCATTGACACCAATGGTAGATGAAGACGATGGCACCCAATAACTGAGCCGTCTTTTCAATTTCCAAATGCCCGTCAATGAGAGGGCATTGATGATATCTTCCTTTTTTTT